AAGGCAAATCACACCTACCTTCAAACAAATCAAGAAAGAGCACAAGAATCACCACTTTCTTTGTACCTACAAATGGCCTAGCAAATTTTCTGGCTGGGTTGTCAGTGATTCAATCCCAGAATAAGGAGCTGATGTCATTGTGCAAGTGCAGTGACTGAGGGACCACCTTCCTCTTCCTGCAGCAGGCTTCCCTCTACACCGCTGACAGAGGTGTGGCTTTAGTACTTTCAATCAGGTGCCTTTCATGCTCTAAGCAGTGGGAAACCACCTATGTCCCAAGATTACCCTTCAGTTGAAAAGCTTTCAAACTGGGATAGCTTTTACATCTGGGAGCAGCTTGGCTAGCCAAAGCAGCTAGCATTCTTGGAAAGGTTTGATCAAATCCGAAAATGGAATCTTACCAAGGATTATTTTCACTACTGCAAATGTATCCCTGATTTCTGGCTTGTAACCACTGATGCCAGCTGCCGAAAAGTGCTCTTACACCAGAGATTGCATACCTTCCTATAGCCTGCCACAGCACAGCACCCCACCCACCCACTTCCTTCCCCAGGCCACAAAGTCAAGTCAATTTTATCCTCTTCATAAGAAATTAATAGAGGGAGAAAAATGGCATTAACAATGAATTTCTCTTCAAGAGTCCATATACTTGTAATATTAAAATGTTTGATTCCCAGTCCCTTTACTGCAACAGTAAAACAAAATCCCAGTCCAAGATATCAGAAAGCCTCTGTTCATTTGAATAAAAATGTTTCTCCTGGATTAGGCACGTTGAAATAATCAAGTGCTAAAGAAGAGAAAACCCCTGATCAGAGCACACCTGCTTCTCCTCTTTCTCTGTCTGCCCCTTACAGCACAGAGATTGGCATGAGTGACCTTATGATACATTAGTTCCTTTTAGCTTTGTCTGGAAGTTGGCTCAGATTTTGTCAATGCTAAAATTTGCAGCTGATATCAATTAGACTTTTTTCTTATTAACTACTGTTGATGTTTCAATGGGGAGATGTTTCAGCATTAGCTTCCTGAGCTTGCTCAAGTAGGAGCCAAAAGCTAAACAAAGCTTCCTCTTAAAAACATTTCCAACATATGTTTTAATGCTGGATGTTTTCATTCCACTCAATAAAATTGTTCTCCCCAAATATTTTAATTTTGAGATGCAGATTCCAAGAGAAAATGACAGATGGAAGTTCAAAACAGCCTGGAAGCTTAGATCACCTCACCACCATGCTGAGGACATTTTAGGAGTCTTTACATGAGCAACATAGTAAAGCCAAGGAAGCACGATCTGTTCATACATTTCATATAGAAAGAATTTGCAAACTAACAGGATTACATTTCTAAGACCAAGGGTTACTGGGGTGGGGTGGAAGTGGGGAGAGGAGCATCGAGACAGGTTGGGCAGGGGACACAGGGAATAATTGCAATTTGGCGTGGTGGGCATGCTGATACCATTGATTTGCTCACCACATCTTGGGCACAGGTGCTGATGGTCAGCTCTTGCCCCATGAATATGTATAATCAAAAGAAGATTAAATAAATAATTTTTTTAAAAAATAAATTTCTGTTTTAAATGCATAATTGTGCATGTGTATTTTCTTGACATAATGACAACTAATAATTCATCTATATCCTTTATTGCATATGTATTCAGTTTATTTTCAATTAATAAATACTTTTTCAAATGATTTTAAGTTTTATTTGCAATTCAGGGATATTCACATTTATTCCTTGCTTCAACACCAGCAAAAGATTACCATTCTCATCTTAGTAATGTTAATGTGCCTTATTAACACAAAATGTTTTTTGTCTTTTGGGGAATATCTGGTTGGGTCTGGGGGCAATATTTGTATTTTTTTTGCTTTGCATGACTTTCCAGAAGCCCCAGTGGCCCACAATCAAGGTCAAAGCATATATAAGGGTACTTCAAAAAGTTCATGGAAAAATAGAATTAAAAGATAATATGAATCTTTCTATGAACTTTTTGAAGTACTCTCATAACTGATTCTGTGTATCAGGCAGCCTTCTTTTAAAAAATCAATTATTCAGTATGCTAAAGAAATTATACAGCCAGAGAAACTAAGGGTCAAATGTGAAGCCAAAGAGTTTGCGAAAAATTTACTTTACTTCTCATAATGAGGACCTGGAAAAGAGAATAGATCAATCCCTCTAAATTTCTTAACACTGGAGACAAGTCTCTGCCTACATTACCAGTTATAGAGCTTTGCACTTGCCCCCCTCTTTTTCTCATCCTTTCTGTATTTCCTATTCCTGTTATTATATATCACCTGCTTGAGGGCTTCAGAACTTCCTTCAGACATTACAGGATTACAACAACAACAACTAAGCTTTCTAGATTTCCTCTGGACTTCCCTGTACACAATTCCAGGCAATCCTGTTCATTAAAGCAAAGAAAGATCATTGTAAAAGAAATGCCAGAAGATTCATCTTGCAAATAAGGACCACAACTCTTCTGATCCAGTAAACTGTTTCACTAGCAGGAATTTTCAACAGAAAATAAAATATGAAGAATTTGCTAAAGAATGGTTTAAAAGTTGTTTTTTAATAGTTTGTTTAATGTTTTGAAGAAGGGATCCAAAGAAGATCAGGTGCGCATTATTTTGAAGAAAATATCTCCTGAATGAAGACAAGCAGTCCTCTAGGGAAAACTTAATGAAATACAATTTGTTTTATCAAGTGCTACATTATTTTCAATTAGATACATAGTTCATTTATTATCTCTGAAATAAACTTTTTACATTAAAATCTAATTAACTTGAAGAGTTAATTGGGCTACTATGGAAAAATTTGTTGGTATTTTCCTAGTGGCTCATTCATTTCCTAACCAGTGGAAGAAGGGAAGCATGAATTACCATTTTATCAATGGATCTAATAAAGCCAGAAGTGGAACTGTAAGATCTGTGCACCGTGCACAAACCCCACACGTCAGGATGGCTCACCTCACAAAGACCATGAGACAGAGACTGATGCAATCAAGCAAGAGGAGTTTATTTCCAGCATGCTGGGGTCACTCAGCATTCAAGACAAAAGCGACCATGAGCCTTTAACACAAGAGCTTTTTATACAGTTTTTTAGACAGACTTTCACAATAGGATGAGTTGTTTACTGTTTACAGGTTATCAGAGGTGACCTTTGGATTTATTGGTGGGCTTTAGCAAGCTGGTACCCTGATAAGGAACAGTGCACTTCCCAATCGTTTATCTTCCAGGTGGCTTTTAGATAAGGAACTGGTCAGTCAGTTCCTGGAACCGGGTGGTGTTTTACTCCCTTCCTGGAATTTAATGTGTCTGGGCCTGCCTTACTTAAAATGGTGTTAGTTATGTTTTCCCATCTTTAATAAGCATTAAATACAGAAGCAAATTAAGCATGTTAAAGTTATATTTTTTCCTACAATTTCCCCCTTTTTCTTGTGTGTATTTTCAATCATGAGATACTTGTCTCTTGTTGATTTAATGCTTGATATTGTTGTCTTAACATCATAATTTGAACAGTACTAACACATTATTTAACAAAAGCTAGCAGGCGATTTAAAATGCAGGGACCGAAGGTCAGAAGCAGCATTAAAATAATTCGTGGTCCTAACAGGGTTGACACGAGGGTTGTGAGCCAGGGGGAGGAGTTGAACCATGACTCAAACCAGCCCTGACTTTGTTCTCTTTCTCTTTTCCTTTTGGCTAGGCCTTCCCTGATTTTGGCCATGGAGTCTTTAATTACCCCTGAGTGATCAATGTAAAAACAACATTCTTCTTTTAGTGCAGCGCAGAGCTCCCCTTGCTGAAGGAACAAGAGGTCCAATCCCCTTCTATTTTGTAGAACCACCTCAGAAAGGGAGGTGAGGGACCCCTGTAATTTAGTAATCGAATTTTCTATTTCTTTAATATCAGCATCTATGGCTGCCTGTAAACTCTGGTAATTTTGATGCTGAACAGCCAAAGCTGAAATTCCTGTTGCTGCCCCAGCCGCTCCTAATCCTAAGCCCAAAAGGACAGAGAGGGTGATAGTTATGGGTTCCCTTCTGGTTCAGTCAACCGAAGGTCAGAAGCAGCATTAAAATAATTCGTGGTCCTAACAGGGTTGACACGAGGGTTGTGCGCCAGGGGGAGGAGTTGAACCATGACTCAAACCAGCCCTGACTTTGTTCTCTTTCTCTTTTCCTTTTGGCTAGGTCTTCCCTGATTTTGGCCATGGAGTCTTTAATTACCCCTGAGTGATCAATGTAAAAACAACATTCTTCTTTTAGTGCAGCGCAGAGCTCCCCTTGCTGAAGGAACAAGAGGTCCAATCCCCTTCTATTTTGTAGAACCACCTCAGAAAGGGAGGTGAGGGACCCCTGTAATTTAGTAATCGAATTTTCTATTTCTTTAATATCAGCATCTATGGCTGCCTGTAAACTCTGGTAATTTTGATGCTGAACAGCCAAAGCTGAAATTCCTGTTGCTGCCCCAGCCGCTCCTAATCCTAAGCCCAAAAGGACAGAGAGGGTGATAGTTATGGGTTCCCTTCTGGTTCAGTCAACTGAACCAGAACACAAAAAATCCTGGGTTTCTATTTTGAGCTTGATGGTAAACAACAGCCCATCATTATATTCTTCTTTATAAAACCTTAGTCCTCATGTAAATCCCTTTCCCATCCAATGGCTATCAAAGTATTCCTTTGAATCCCAGTTGCCTGGGGCTCCTAAAGCTAGTTTACACATATCTGGAAATAAGTCAGGCCACCACCCTCCTGTAGTCACCTTGGATTGACTCCAGATTGTATCTTCCACCCTATTTACAACATACCAAGTGAAATTTCTGGGGATATGTGGGCTGCTAGCTCTTGGGCCCTGGAAGAGAATTGTTACGCATAAGAGGAGCAAGAGATTTTTCATCTTACAACATTTAGGGTGTCCGAACAATTTTCAGTCTTAAGGGGTGTTCCTTGGGAACTCTGGACTCTCTAGGCGGCGTCTCCCGGTCCTTGGTCCTCTGGCAGCGCAGGTTTTACGTGCGAGGCGTGGATCCAAGCGGAGATCCCGTATAGACTGTGTCCCCAACCTGGAACTGCTGAGAAACCTCGCGGGTCCCAGGCTTATAGGAGGCTGCCAGCTGCGTCCAGACTTCCTTCTGTACTGCTTGTAGTCCTTTCAACCTGGCATATAAGTCACTGTTACTGTGGCAAGTGGATTCAAAAGCATCCCCCAGTAAAGTCAAGGGGGCAGGGGTACCATAGAGAATTTCAAAGGGAGTCAGGTTGAACCGGGAGGGGGTGTTCCTAGCTCTAAACAGGGCTGAGGGAAGGAGCATCACCCAGTCCACGCCAGTCTCCATGGTTAATTTAGTCAGGGTCTCTTTTAGAGTCCTATTCATCCTTTCTACCTGTCCTGAACTCTGGGGTCTATAGATACAATGTAATTTCCAATTGACCCCTAGGTGTCTGGCCACTCCCTGACTTATCTTGGCAACGAAGGCAGGTCCATTGTCAGACCCGATTACCTTGGGCACCCTGAAGCGTGGGAAGATTTCTTCCAGGATTTTCTTGTCCACGACTGTGGCTGTTTCTTGTTTCATTGGAAATGCTTCTACCCATCCAGAGAGGGTGTCTATAAAAACTTGGAGATACTTGTAACCATATCTGCCTGGCCTGATTTCTGTAAAGTCTACTTCCCAATATACTCCTGGTCTGTCTCCCTTAAGTCTCTTGCCAGGCCCTGATGTATTTTTGCAGATATTTACATTTTTGACAAGGTACACAGCTTTTAACTATCTGCTCTACTAAATGTTTTAGCCCTATGATATGATATTTTGTTCTTAGGGAAGTTTGGACCAATTTGTTTACTCCCGGATGAGTCCATTGGTGCATTTGTTTGATCATGGCACATGCTTGTTCTTGTGGAAAGATAGGCTTGCCTGACGCTGCATGCCAGCGCCCTTTTTCCTGATTATAATAGTTATTAG